GTCTTGCAAACCCTTTTTCCTTACTTTCATTTACCTTTTCAGGTGCTGGTTCACCTGCTTGTGAAGTAGCTCTTCTCTCTTTCTAGTGTTTACTTGCTGCCTTGATTCCCTCCTGCTTTTTCTTTTATTAATTTCTTCCACTTCTGGAAATAGATGGAGGAAATGAAGGGAGGAAGCTATCACAGTATTAGTTATAAAATGGTGTGGAATATAAATTATAGTATAATGGCATGTACCACCGGGTATGTCAGAGATTCTCCTGGTATTGATGGTCTTTCAAAGCTTGGGACTACGGATTGAAGTTGGTCTGTGCAAGGAGTCTTTGGAGACTAAAAGTGGCAACTGAATACACCCTGAAGGGGGGAGACCAGAATAAGAGTGACTTTCTTAGGTGAGAAGTTCAGATTCTTACAACATTTGAATGTGTCTTTCTTAAGGTGATGAGGCAAAAAAAGTCTTTGGCAGTCCCACCTAACCAGCTATCCAAGGTTCGAGGGAGCCCTGCAACAGGCAGAGGGTTGTGTTTGACCCATGGGGCTACCCTGAGGCACCAGGTGCTGCCAGTTTGTTAGAGTCACCCAACAGAGAAGAGGTGAGTACATGTTCATAATAATAAGGCTGTATTTCCTGGAGACAGTGATCCCCATGGTGGTGCTATGTGAAGAAGGTCTTGTACTTGTGAGTGCTTCCTCTGTACAAGTGGCTTGTGTTCCTCCTGCATCCTCTTGTCAACTTTGATGTTTTATGAGCTATCCTTAAAATCTGTTCAAGTTCCTGAACTAACCGAGAGTGATGCCTGTCACCTTCCAGTTCACCCTCCCTGTTCCTTCCTCAGTTCCTTGCCCTGTCTATGTCCCCTTTCTTGTCCCGTCCACCCCCCCATGTTGGATTATATAGACTCTGGGGTCTCACAGGAGAAGAGAGTGAGGAAGAGTGGGATGGTGGGAGGAAAGAAGACATGGGGAGTAAGCTGGTTTTGGAGCTGTGGCCATAATACATTAGTTAACTGTTTTTATTGCTTTGTGGTAGGTAACATCCAGCACAGAAGTTGAGTGAAAAGTGTGAAACTACTTAATGACTCTACTTACAAAACACACATCTCTAGTACTTTGGGAGTCAGATACGTCATTGTGGAATGGCTGACATCTATCAACAGTAGATATGTTACTTCTCTGTGAATAGTAAACTGATAGTTATGGCTAAGACCCAAGCCTCCCCCTTAACCCTGTCGAAGTTGGTTTTTTTCCCCTCAATTCTTATTCAAAATAACTTCCTTAATCTCAGAAACAGACTGAGATTGGTATCACTGCAAATCTGTAAGTGTAAGTCCAGTCCTAATGTTTTTGCATGAATGCAGGGTATTGAATGTCTTCTAGGGTGCTTTGCATGGTGGTGGAAGGTTATTTTAGACAGAAAAGTCTAGACAGTTCTTAGGATCAATTGCACATCTCTACACCTGCCAAAGTTTGGAAGGGAATTTTGTTTAAGCTGCACTGCAGTTCCTCAGAAGGGTTTTCACAATACGAGTAACACTAACTAGACTAGTCTCTCTCTCCCTCCCTCCCCAGAATATCACTGCTACTGTTGTTGTAAAACTTGGGTAACGTTCTGCAATTGTTATTTCTATTTCGATCTTCCCTCATTCTCTAACATTTATGTAACTAGGAAGGATGTTAGCTTTCATGCATGGTTTTGATGTATGTGCAAGGAATAATAGAAAGATTTCTCACATGCAGTTCAGACAAGTGCTTTTTAAACACTCTTTGAGCATAAAATGAATAGATTGGACTTCAGAAGGGCTCTTCAGTGGGTAAAGGAGGTGAATATAGATATGCTTTTCAGTGTCAGTCTTAATTGTATTTTTTTCAGAAATAGAGAAAACTATTTTCTTGCTTGAACCTTCTAATACTGCATTGTTGAAAATTGCTTGGCATGTAAAAAGCGTCTTCTGAGTGATATAGACTGCTTTTTATAGTCTTTAATTCATCTCTGTTTCTTAAAAATATCCAGACTTTGCTAATGGGCAGTACTTTGCTAATGGGCAGTACCAAGTCTACGTGAGGCTCTGAAGTTCACAGAGAAAATACGTGGAAAGAACCGAGATGTATGGAAGAAGTTAAAAATGAGCAGTTCATTTAGATTACCAGTGGCATTTGAATGCTGACTTTTTAAAATGTACTTAAATATTATTTAGTTTATTGAGCTGATTTATGAGTCTCTTTTTTCCTCCCTTCTTTCCTTCTTGGAGAAACAGGAATTTTTTGGTTTGCCTATCATGTTTAAACATTTCATTCATATGATGGAAAATTAAACAATAGGCTATAAATGTGGTTGCAATCTCAATTAGATTGTTTAAGATTTTCCCATATGTTTCTCTGTAAAAATAACAACAACACTAATGTTAGTAAGCTCATCTTAAACCATATGTGAGTGCTTGCCATGAGTGTCTGGGTCTGTCTTCACTTCCTGCTTTGAATACTTTTGGTCACTTAGTTTTAAATACATTTCTAGCTGAGCAGCTGTGCCTCTGTGTTGACTGTTTTGAATTAACTGTGATTTTGTATTATTTCATTTTAGAAAATATAGTCTTACGATGTGATTGTAGAAGTATTGTTGTTAAGGACTTCTGTTAAAAAAAAAATTGAGGTAGCTGTTCAAATTGTAATAGACCTTGAAGAACAGGCAAATATAAATTTAAAAAAAAGCGTGGGTAAGCTGAAAGCCATAGTTGTATTTCTTTGGGGGAAATACACATTTGTGAGTCTCATGTTTCAGCATAGAATGGAGATCTAGAAAGTTGAGTCAACACGCAGAAAGGATAGTAGGCAAAAGCAATGCTGCATCCAAAGGAAAAAAAAAATTAAATCTTCATTGCATGCTGAATAAAGTGTTTTATTTTAGGTGTTTGTGCAGTTTGCAGTGGGAACTATGGGCTTACAATGGCAAATGATGGGAAACAGTGATCTGCAAGACAGCATTAAAAATTGGGAATGCCAAATATGTGCACTGTATGTCAACCTCAGTTGAGAATTTGTTTTGAAAACATAAATTGTTAAACAATGAAGGCCAGATCTTTTTATTATTTTTCCTGGGAAAAGAGTTTGTATAGCCTAAGGGAGAATTTGGTGCCTGTGGGAAAGAGAACACTGGGCTCGATTTTCAAAATTTATGTGGCCTTGCCAAGACAGATGGGAAGAAACAAGAGTGCACCCCAAACAACTGTAGCCCTGGGAGACTCTGCTCATCTTGCATGCGGGTTTTCCCATTCATAATTATGCTTAAAAATCAAGCTGGGCACACTAGTAGCTCTGCACGTGGAGGAGTCAAGCTTGTTCAGCCAGATTTTGATGTACTGTAATAATTAATCTTGGCCGCGTCATGTAAAGGGGTGACTGCAAAGTGCCAGGGTGTCTGTCTTTATTAATTTCTGAGCAAGCATTATCAAGGCAAGTGATGTGTGTAAGCAAGCCTGTGCCTTTGAGAGTCCCTAATCTACAGATCTGCTGTGACCAGACGCTGCAAGGCAGCTCGTGCTGCTGTTGTGATGGATTGAATATGTTCCATGCGACTCCTGGAACCCCGCTTGTGATTTGTCTTGAATGTTTTCTTGGCAGTAGAGTGTGCTGGGAGTGCTTGTTTTCCAGGCTGCTGCTGCGGCTCCATGAGTGGAGCTGAGGGCTGGTCTTCTGGCTCTTGTTGCCTTGTCGCTCGGAATGCTGTTCGTGTTTCTCATCTGCAGCGTTCGACATCCTGTCCATCTCAACGGCTTCCTTTGGAGCCAGCCTGGTGGATAAACATCCTTTATACAGCTGAATGTTCAACTTCTTTAAAACTGAATGGTCAAACAATGTAGCTATTGTGGATGCTACAAAGTAGATGTTGAACATCTAATCTGAATTTTTGCTTGTGTCAGCTATTATCGGTGAATTTCCACAAAACAGATCTGATTGCATCTGTTCCTTTTGCTCTAGCTAATGTTTTGGTGTGGAACACAACATCAAGAGCACTGCATCAGCTTTAAAATAACACATCCATCCAATTTTTTTCCCCAGATTGCTGCTGCTTACAGGATCTTTAAGAACAGAGGAAATGAGCAGAATGAGAAAGAAAACAGGAGTAACACTTGAAGTTTAGTTAAATAAAACAAAGAAAAAACCAGAAATCCTTTCTGTAATCACTGGGGAAAAGATACTGTAGAGAACAGGATCATAGAATCACAGTTTAAAGTGAGGATTTGGGGGATATTTCTGAGACAAAATAAACTTTTAGAAATACTTGATAGATACAAAAGTGAATTAGATTTCTTATTGGTGTGTGCTGTTAATCCTTAGCAAGGGAAAGGAATGGCTGATTCAGGAAGCTGCAGGGTCTCATAAATCAGGAGAATAATGAGATGTGAGCCAAACATTATTTTGATTGCTTTGCCTTTGATTGTTCCATTTTCCTCTCATCATTCATTCAACCCTTTTATATACAAGTGGATTGGGAGCTGTGGTTTTTTGTGGTTTTTGTTTGCTTGTTTAACTAGGCTTTGGGCAGGAACTTTGTTCTTGCCTTGTTGTGTTAGTCTTTGTTTGTTTTTGTTTTGGTCAGGTATTATTTTTCGTTGTTGTTGCTTTGGTTGCCATTCAGGGTTTTGGGCTACCCTGATAACTGAGTCTGTGCATGCCCTGTGATAGCTTTGCCTGTTCAGAGCCCAAAGGGACGTTCTTATCTGCTGAGCTTGATCCGCATGGAGTGGGTGGGTCATGCATTGACTTAGGTGATCCAAAGGTCCGTGTAACCTGTGTGCTCCGTTTCTGTGCCCCTGTGGTACAACTTCAGTCGCACTGCAAGTTTCTTTCATAACATGGCACTGCATATTGTGTGAACTTGCAATTTGTGCCTTTCACAGAGTTTTTGTTGTGTGTGGGTGTTTTTTTTTTTATGTTGGAGGGAAAGGGAAGAAAAGACAGAAATTTGTAATTCCATCCCCTTGTCTCTCTTTTGTGCTTTGATAGGCCTGGACGATTGCCTGCAGCAGTATGTCCATAAATTTGAACGGGAGAAGATAAATGGTGAACAGCTGTTACAGATTTCTCACCAGGACCTTGAAGACTTGGGTGTCTCACGGATCGGACACCAGGAACTGGTTCTAGAGGCTGTGGATCTCCTGTGTGCACTGGTTAGTTAAGTGGTGAACAGACACGCAAAGAATTTCTTAAAGTGCTCTTTTGGGTGAATAAATAAGGTGGGTCTGATAAAACCAGAATACCTGTGTCTCTTGCTTTCAGTTACACATCATGGTAAAAGAAAACAGTAAGAATTTGTTTAGTTCTCGCAAGCTTTGTGTTGATAGCTCTTGAACGTTTTCCTGCTAAGAGGCAACACTAATTCATTTGGTTGCACTTCTAAAGAAACAAGTTGTCTGAGTAGCATTGCTAGATCTTGTGGCTCCTGTTAGGAAACATAGCAATTAAAATTGCAGTTGAGTAGAGTGAATTTGTCATAGAAGACAGACATACTGTTGAAATGACAGCTGCTAATGGTTCCTCACATCAGTTGAAATGGGTTTAGGGCAGCTCTGTAGTCTTCATACAAAGTGAAGAATATGTTTGTGAAATGAGAGATGTTTTGCTAACTCAGTTACAGTCGAGTTCAACGCTTACTGGATTCGGAAATTAAGCTGTTCCTCTGTCTTTCTCCTGATATATAACTGTGCAGATACTTTTAAAACAAACACACTCTGAAAAGAATACATATATTTCGGATTGTTTTGCTAGTGCAAGCTTTATTTAAAGACCGTAGTTTGGACACAGTCTTGAAGACTTGTTTGATGTAACGCAGCAAATGAGCACCAGAGATATACATGATTACATCAGGGAGAAGTGGGAAAGGCTGCCTGATGATTCCTCGGCCAGCACTGGTCTGCCTTCCCTTCATTAGGCAAGATGTGCAGCACTGAGCATACTCTTCTTAAAATGGAGAGTCTTTATTGCCTGTGTGATATATCCTTTATTTGCTGCAGAGATGTGCAATGGGGATCACTCGTACTCCATAACCAGGAACAAACTCAATAGCCTGTACTGAAAGAAGTATATTTAATGAAATCACAATCTGCAATGTTTCCCAGTGAGTTGCTCTTACATTTGCAAAATGTTCTTTCGTCTTCAGCATATGATCTCTCAAAAACTTTTAACATTTAACTTGAAAAGCTAATTGAAGAAAGTAATTAGCCTGAAATGCAGTTCATGTTGTGGGAAGGGGATAATCTGCCGGGCAAGTGAAGGGGTCTGGTGAGTTAGTAAATGTACTGTGTGCTGTATACAGTCCTGACTGAAGTAATGAAAGTGGCAGCCCCCAAAGACACTTTTTTCTTATTACTGTTTAAAATATTAGAATAAAATGAACAAAGCTGGATGACCGCCAGAACCTAAAGCTGTGTTTTATCTCCTACAATTTCCTTCTAATTTCCTTTGTAGACAAAAGTTTTGACCTCATTCATTTCTGGAAATCCTTTGTGAAATGTAGCTCAAGTTAATGCATTAGACAGAGTTCACATATTGCAGCTGATATGTCCTTGTTCCATTTTAAGAAATGGAGGAAGAATTCCCGTGTTTTAGGTATGCCCTTTGTCACCATCTTGATGCCCCTTCCCTTGAGTTTTTGGGATTGTTGTATAAAATCACTGTTGATTTTATTCCCGAGGGGATGGTGTGTTTTAAGTTCTAGTGACAGCCGATTTTTATTTTGCTGTCTGTTCTTTTTGTGTGACAGAATAAAGGTTTCCCTGTTCTACCCGTAGTAGTTCTTTCACAGACCCACTTTCATATCATTTAACGGATGTTTTTTTGTGTATGTGTATATATGGTGACATTTCCTTATCTTTTGGGGCCTTGAGTTAAAAGGCAAAGGAACTATTTAGGGGATTTTTTCTCTTTTTTTTTTTTTTTTCTGCCCCTCGCCTCTGCCCTCTCCTCTCTCCCTTTAGGTCACACTGTGGAAATGTGGCATTCGCTGGGCCAGCCTGAGGTCAGGCTTTGAAAGTTGTCGTTCTTGGGGGGGGTGGTAGGGAACCGCTGAGAGAGGGTTTTGGTGGTTCCCCAGTCCTGGTGTTCTCTAGTTTTTATCTAGTTTTGCCTTGGCAGTTTTCCAACTGAGCTTCCTTCAGATCAATGCTTTGGTTCCCTCACACCGCAAGACCACTTGCGGCTCTAAAAGGCAGTGAAGCAACTGTCTTTGGAGCATCCTTCTCCTGCAGTAGCTCTTTTCAAGCATTGACCATACACGCCTGTTTTCCAGCCTCAGTAGATCCGTTGTAAAAATACAGTGTGAAGGCTGTCCTTTCCTTGAGAAAAGATAGGTCTGCAAGTTATGGTGTTTGCTGCCACAGCAGGCAAACTCGAGAACCCCTATAGCTGAAAAAGAAATGAATGCATCTTTCTCTGCTGCTTTGGTGATGAGACAGTGTTCCCTCATCTCCTTGCAGTCGTGGCCGCATGTGCAACAAAGCTGCAGCCGGAGTGTGTGTGGACAGGGATAAAAGTGAAGGTTTCCTGTGAGCACACATTTCTGTTGCTCTTGAGCTGGTCTAATAGACTTTTCTGAACAGGTGTTGAAGACTTATTTAAGGGATTTAAAGGACATATCAAAGAAAACTAATTCCTCAGAGGGGAAAAAGCCATCAACTCGAGTGTCTCCATCTTTTCCTTGACAACAGTATTTGCTTGGGGGAGAAGAGGGATGGGAGGAAGACACTTCTTAGTTGACTGAAGTATTTGGGGAAGGGAGGAATAAACATACATAACTATGCTTTTGAAACTCATGCAAAACCACAAAAGCAGGGTCAGGGATCCAGAAAACAAGCTTTCTCAGCCAAATAATCGGGATATAAAGCATCTAGAGTGGTGGTGAAAACTGAATACTTACTCATCTTTCCCTGATGAGTAGACTTGCCTGTTTGGGCTTAATAAATATTAAACAATGCAAGCATTAACAGGAAACCGTATGCAAATATTTTCACTTTTCATGTGTTCTTTGGATTAGATTTCTGAATTTTTACCTACACTGTGATGGAAGAGTTTGGAAGCAAAAAAGTGGCTGATTTTTCTTGAGGTTATAATGAAGAGATGCTAGTTTTAAGCAATCTAAAAATACACCAGACAAGCCACAAAACAAAAAGAACATAGTTTTTAGTGTTGTGCCTTTTGATAATTTCATTGGTAATAATGTTCTTCCAGCATATTTGCAGTGCAATAAAATATAATATAAAATAGAACATGAAGACTTACCTTTAGTGGCTAATCCTTGTCAAAAGCACAACATCTATGCACCATCTCATAAGATTTCAGTTTTCTAGAGGTCTCAACTGGTATTTAGTACAGTTTATTAGGTAATTTGAGACTCCAAAGGATTCCTTAGGATACAATTTTGTTTAAAGGGAGAGAGCAAGAATGCGTGATTGTGACAGTACCTTGTGTTAACTCTAGTGTTTATATAGGCATGCAGTGTGTTGGGTTGCTTTTGAGCAGGCATTCAGTCTGTTTTTATTCATTTTTTTGCCAGAGCTGATTTCTGCTTGGCTGGGTCGGCAGATCCAGCTCATTGCCCTGCGGCACAAGAACGTGGCAGTGAAGGGGAGGGTGATGCTGACCTGGTGCTCTGCTACTGCTCTGACACAACTGCTGTGCTCCTTTGACTTCAGTTAGCCACACCTCTTTTTTTTTTTTTCTCTATTTTTTTATTTTATGTTGACTGCCTGACCTTGGGCGATTATTTGGTCAGTGTACTTTTTCTCATTAAATGTAATGGAGTTTTGAAAGTGTGCACTGTTGTGCGCATGTGAACTCTCGTGCACGTGTGCGTGCTGTTGCTGGCTCCAGCCCTGCGTGTGGCTCCCCAGGTTAATGAGTGACAGCCTGGGAATGTTTGACATGGGGTGCTCTTGACCGCGGGCTTCAGCCTCTGTTTCGATGAAAGCGACTTTGATGTTTTAAATCGGGAGCAATAGGAAAATGTGACACGTTCTTTGGTTCATGAGCAACATCTAAACCCTTTTGGTTGCTTAAATAATAATCTGTTAAATATTTCACCCTCGGTCATGTAGAAATATTTCAAAAAAGCCTGCTAAGCTCTGCCCTTCAACTGTGTGTCGCTGTAAAGGCTGTTTGGTGTTCTGCCATGCTATCAACATTCCTATCTGTCCTGAACTGGGGCTACAGCTCCATGACAAGTTAAATTAATCCAAGTCAGCTGCTGCCTCCATCCCCTCCTGCCCCCGGATTAGTGATCTTTTGTGCTTGCACTCACCTGACCCTGAGGCGAGCTACTTCAGGGAGCTAAGCCAGCTGAGAGCACGCTATGGTAAAGAAGGGAATAGGCTTTTTGAATGGTTTAGTTCCCTAATCCAGCCCTCCCAATGGACTGGACACTGCAAGTGAAGGAGCCAAGAAATAGCAGAAATAGGTAGGTATTTGTGAGGTGGGCAGATAGCGTCAGCTTAGACAGAAACATTGCTATATCTGGTGAAGGGACTTAATGTTTTCTGTGTATTAGAGAAAACACGTGTGGGGACTGGCTTGCCCCTGAAGCAGAGGTAGTTTGGGTTGTGATGACGCTTTGTTCCGGGAGAGTTCATCCCTCCAGGCTGATCCGTAGCTGGAGAATTTGGTCGCATCTATTGAGTGCTCCCAGTTGCCCTGGATAGGCGTAGTGCTTAGCCAAGACTTTTCCTAGAGCACAAACTGCTGGTTTAGGTATCTCAGGTGCGTTCCACAGAGTCTCTGGGGGCAGTTGGAGGAAAGCTTAGTGCAGTGACTGGAGAGCTTGGCTGTGATGTGCCCTTGACAGGCTGTTGAGGAGACCAGTTGCATAAGCTGGAGCCACTACACCTCCAGAGGCAACATCTGTGTTGCTGAAATCCACCTGAAAACTGAGAACTGCATGAAAAATTTAGTTAAAAAGTAGCTGAACTGGAAAAATCATACCAGAGTGACTTGCTGTATAAATAAGGTGAGAGAGGTGTGATAAAGAGTAAGTGTTTTGGGGCCAAAGCCAAAATCTTGACTTGATATATCGACGTATGTCTGCTTAAATGCTGGGGCCATCTCTAATTGCAGGCACCCACAGGTCATGGGCACAATTTCTGCACCTGAATGACAGAAAGAAAGAGCTGGAGATACTTAAATATGTGAAGACTCTGTCAAGTTCTGACAAGTGTGATTAGGTGGTTATACCACTGTACAGAAAAAAAATCTTTTGTATTTTCTGTCTGTTTATGGAAGGAATGGGGTCAGCATCCTCTAATTCCCCTGTTAAAGGGGGAGATATCTGGCACATGTCTGCTTTCCAATTCTTGTGGTCACAGGAACTTACTTTTTCACCAACAGGTCTGGATGTGGGGTGTTCCTCCAAAAACAGGCTAATATGCAATGGTCTGTGAGGAGGAGAAAACTAACTGCAAGAAATGCATCTGAATGATGCTCTTGTTTGGTTGGTTTGTTTTTTTTTGTTAAAAGGTGATAAATTCACACGTGACAGTGTGCAAGTACTTTAACATTCTTTAGTAATCCAAATCTTTCCCTCTGCGTAATCCTGGAAAATTTAAGGATATCCTTTGCTGTTGCAACAGTGGCATTTTTTTAATGTGATATATCCTCTCAACCCCTACTCCTGGCTGCACTTTAAGGGTACTTCCTTGCCAAGAGCCCTCAGGGGGAGGAGGGAGGCACTTGTGCAGCTTGCACCCACTGGGATTTTATCCATAGGAGGTGGTAAGTATTTTAGAGGCAGCTGAGTAGCCAAAACCTCTCCTTACACTGGTGGGTTTCTTTGGGACAAAGGTTCTATTTCATCTGTTGTGAATGACTTCCTCTGAGATGTTCCAGCCTGTGTTATGTATGCTTGACTGTAGAGGGAAAGGAGCCACAAGTTACCAGTGTGCTCCGGCAGCAAAGAAGTTGGCGGCAGCATCCCGGGATGCATTAATGGACGCATGGCTGGGAGAGGGAGGGGAGTGATTAGCACCCTTTACTTGGCACTTATTAGTTTACATATGCCCCCCGTCCCCAAGTACGGGGAAGAGGAGGACAAACCAGAGCAAGCTCAGCGGAGGGCTACCAGGTTGGTCGGGGCTGGAGCACTTGCTCATGAGGAGAGGCTGAGGGACTGGGACTGCTTCAGCCTGGGGAAGAGGCGGCTTCAGGGAGGCCTGACAGCAGATCCCCAGCACCCACCGTGCGGGGGAACATGGCTGGTGGGATGGCAGAGCTGGGCTGTTCATGGTGGGAGGATGAGGGACTTCGGGCAAAAGTCGAAGCAAGATGTTCAGACTGGGCATAAGGAAACACTTTCTCACCTTGGGGACAGTCAAAGGGTGGATCAGGTTGCCCAGAAAGGTTGTGCAGTCTCTGTCCTTGCAGGTTTTCAAGACCTGACTGGATAAAGCCCTGAACAAGCTGCTCTGAGCTCACAGCTGAGCTTGCTGCGAGCAGAAGGTTGGACTGAGACCTCCCCAGCTCCCCTCCAGCCTGGGTGATGCTATGATCCTGAGTGGAGGCACTGGGAACCCCTGGAAACTTGGAATTAAATGGAATTAAGATTTGCTTTAGTTGCTTGAGTTTTCTGAGGGGGGAAGGAGAAAGAGTAGATAGTATAGCTGACTATGGAACTTGGAGGTTGGAAGCAAGAATCTGCAGAAAGGCAGAGCTTTTTGTTTTTTTGGGTGGAATTTTTTGTTTTGTTTTTGTTTTGGTGTTTGGTGGTGTGGTTTTTTTTGGTGTGTGTTTTTTTTTTTTTTTTTTTAAGAAAAGCAGGAATTTCCATTCTAAAACAGCTTTTAAAGTGCTCAGCATTTCCTGGGAGAACTTTCAGAAGATGCCCTCAGAGGTTTTGCAAGGTGGGATGACTCAGAAACAAAGATACTCGGCAACACAGTGCTACGCAGTTCACACATTTGCACACTGACAACAAAAGGAAGAAAATCTTGATTACAAAATTGAGTTGTCTTCAGAGCAGATACAGTATAGCATTTCTGATGTGTTTTGAATGAGATGATCAATGTATTGCTTAAAACATTTGGGTTTTAATCTTATGGAGTGTGATTGGTTGTATATGAATTTATAGAGTTGAAGTTACAGGCAGGATTTACATATTTTTTAGGTTTCAAAAACTTTTATAAAAATACTGTTGAATGAAAAATACAATGTTTAAGAATGGTTTTAATTACTATGCATAGTGTTAATTCAGTCTTGCAAATAATTGCACTGCTGTAATCAGGGAGCACAGTTGCTAAAAACTTGTGATCCAAATATTTATTCCAGCTTTTGACTGTGAAATTACATTTGCTTCCTCTTGATGTTTTCCTCTCTTGCCAGATTAAACTTATCTTTAGTTGTGAATGAAATGTTAGTTGAGTGTTTATGTACCGCAGTATAGATAACATTTTAAGAAAAAACGTTTGCTTTCCTTTAACAAAAATAAAAACAACACAATCCTGTTACTCCAACTGAATTTTAAAGGTAAATGACATCTGTCCCAATAGGACACTGGGACTTCATTCTGATTGAAAAGTGTCCTCAAATCTCATTAATGTCAGAAACTGAGGGGGCTTGGCACCCACAAAAGTGTTGTTTAGTGGCTGGGGGGTAGAACAAATATTAGAATTAATTTAAAAAAAAAAAAAAACAAAACAGAAAAAATTGGACAAATCCTCAGACCTCTTACCCCATATGAGTTTAACTTGTGGTATAATAAATAGGAGCACTCAATAGGGAGATTTATGTCTGCTCACTGCAGGGGTGTTGGGCTAGATGACCTCTAAAGGTCCCTTCCAACCCAAAGCATTCTGTGATTCTATGATTTATCAAGCTTAATATTCCTTGCAGAACTATGGCCTTGAAACAGACAATATGAAGAACCTGGTTCTCAAGCTGCGAGCATCATCCAACAACCTGCAAAATTACATCAGCAGCCGTAGAAAAAGTTCAAATTACGATGGAAATACGTCTCGCAAGCCCCCCAATGAATTCCTTACTTCTGTGGTAGAGCTTATTGGTGCTGCTAAAGCCTTGCTTGCGTGGTTGGACAGGTAAGAATAAAATGTGTTCTAACTTACTGCTATAACAAATTGCTTCTCCTTGTAGGGCAGTTTCTAGATGCTTGCATATAAAGATCTTCTTGACCTCACTCATCCCTTTTTATGGTGTTGCCAGAAGGCCTTTAGTGCACAAATTTAATCTAGGGTATCTACTCTTGCTCTCCCACTCTTGGTAAACCCAGTGAAACTGTTAACATTGCTTCCAAACTGATATTTATAAAAGTAGGAGTCTTCCTGTTCAGGTCAGTTTCTCATATAAGTGACTTCCTCCTCTCCCCTCCTAGCTTCTAAATTACTTGTCATTGGCAGGTCCCTTTCTAAAAGATTTTTTGATGTTCTGAAATCATGGCTGTAGCTCTGCAATTTGAAAGCTGAGCAGCAGGAGAAACTCTCCCTCTGCCTGTTTTGTGGTTTGTATTTTTGTTGGGCTTTTTTTGTTTTTCTTTAGCTTTTTTTTTCCTGGCAAGAGCCAGAGTTGTTTTGTGACAGCTGCAGCGGAAGCAAACAGGCAATAGAGCCGGTCGGGTGCTGGCCGGGATGCTGTCCATGATAACAGATGACCGTAAATTCTCAGACCCTTTGCCAGATTTCCTGAGAAGGAAGGTTAGGAGCAGAGCTGCATGGGGACTCGGAGCAAGGAGAGCTTTTGTCCTTCAGTAGCCCTGCTCTCCATCAAGGAGTTGTTTCTGTGTCCAGGCAGTGACGTTAACAGCTTGTGCCTCTTGCCTGGTCCTCTCCCCTCACCTTGTTGCTGGCAGCTTGCCCTAAATCGCTTCTGCAACACACTGTCAGTAAGGTGGCTGGCTTGACCATTCCCAAACCTGCTGGGGTTGCTTCTGAACCACCCTTCTAGCCCTTTCAGCTGTCTGGAGGATCTGAGGTGAGACTCTATAGGCTCTAAAGCTGCCTTACCTGTAATGATCCTTTTCTAAGATTGAGCCTCACTGCACCTCTGAGTGTAAAATGAGAAAATAGTTTTTCTTCTTTTAGAGAATTTTTATTTCTCTGCAGTTTAAGTTTAGTAATCAAAGACTTGGGTTTGCCCAAGTGAGTAGATTTCTACCTTCCAAGGGTGTGATTTTTACAATACAGTCAGTGATCCGACTCGAGCATACATCTGAGAAAACTATAGTTGGAAAATTGACAGTTTCTTCTGGTTTTGCTCTCTGAACTTGCTTACCACGGGGTTAGACATTCACCAATTTTGGCACAAGGATGGAGGGGGGCTATGCAGTCAGGAATATTTATATTGTAAAACTGTGTCCTCATGCTTGTGTGGATGTCGGAACTACAGCTCTTGCTCTCACCTTCTGTTCCTTGCTGACAAGGTAAGATGGGAGGAGACTGGTCCCTTCGATCTAAGGGGAGTTTTCTCTTGTTACAGGACCCCATTTACAGGTATTGCTGACTTTTCATCAATGAAGAACAGAATCATTCAGCTCTGCTTGGATCTCACTACTACTGTTCAGAAGGTCAGCTGAGTTCTTTTCCTCTTTGCTTTCCAAAAAGGAAGGAAGGGGGATGTTTGGAGAAATAATGTACTTGCTGTGTGCAGAGTGCTAATTGGAAGGCAGATCTGGAAATGAGAGCTTACTTCAAACTTTAAAGGTCCACGAAGTTCAGTTTCAGTTGTCCATTTTTCTGAATTGTGGTTTTTTTCTCCACTTAATTTCCCATTTTGCTATCACTGGCCATATCTTAAGTGATTATGGTTTAAAGACTACTCATATTTTCTTGAGCTTTAATGGAAAGAGGGTTAGTTTTTGAAATAATTGGTCTGCATTTGAAGATCTTCAAGTTCCGAACAACATGTTGAAAACCAGTTATCAGTGCTAACTCTAAACAAAAATATGACTGTTATTATATTCATACTTGCAGACTTCTTAGGTCTTGTCCCATACAGAATGTTTGAGCTGTCAGATGGGAAATGCTGCATGTAGTAGAAGGAGCTGCCACCTTTATGATACAAATCCCGCTAGCCGCGCTTCTTCTGCCCATAGTGCGAGACCACTTTCCATCTATCAGCTGCGTGATGAGCACTCATATTGGTAACAGCTAAAAGAACACATAACAACTGTGGCAGTCATGGCAAATGACATAATTTTGCTCTCTGAATAATACTGCCTGTTTTCGAAACCATTCTGACAACGTGCCATGGCTTTGGCTGTGAAACACGATGTGCAGGCTTTGGCTCCTGCTGAGCTTGCTCATAGCCATTAATCCATGGCCTCCTATGACATGGGTGATTCTCTCCCTGTTTTGGGGGGATGATGTTAAAGGACAGAAATATCCTGTGAGTTGTCAAGCTATGATGACACCCTATTATATGAGTTGGATCATTGTGAAAGGGTAGTGTCTGGATATTATAAGTTCAAAGATGCAGAAGTTTGGCTTGCTGCTGAATGCCCTTCTTGTTCGGTCACTGTGTGTGCAGTTGCAGAAAGGCAGTGCTTTACAGCTACAGATTTGCAGATTGTGAGATAGAACAGTAAGCGTTTCTGGTAGCAGATGGTGTTCACCCAGAGTGCTACAGGAACTGAGATATGAGATTGCTGAACTGTATTAATAAAACTACTAAAAATGGTGTCTAATCTGTCAGTTAAATCAGCCTTTGATGGCAGGGGAATGGAAGCTGGCGAATACAACCCTAGCCTTTTAAAAAGCATCGGAGTACTTCTCTGCCAATGTGATATGAGCTATAATAAAGAAGGGGATTGGTGCATGTGAGAAAAAGCATGAATGGGGGAAGAATCAACAGTATGTTGTACGGGGACACTGCAGATATATTAGAATGGTCTGAAGGAGTCCATTGATATGGAAGAGAGAGATAGCATTGAAAAATCTTTAGGTGAGTTTTCAGACTTCAGAAGTATTACTTATTACAGGATAGAGTGGTGTTAGGAATAAATGGTCAGTTCTCATAATGGAGAAGAGACCAGTGTGGCTCTTATGGAACCAATGTTGTGCTGCATAACCATTAATGATGCCTAAAAGTGGGTGAATAATAAAGCAAAGCGGGAACGCAGTAAGATTCTAGTTGACTTTAATGACAGCTAGCTAGATACAAGGAACAGAGTTTATTTCACTGTTTCTTAAAGTTTTATGGCAAACTTTAAAGTTAGAATAATAATCAGGACTTTGCAATATTGAGCAGTTGGGCTGCATTATTGTAGATGACGTTCACTATTCATTCATGCGGATGTATTTAACAGAAAAAATTATGCTGATGCACAATGATGAAGACTAAATTTTGTAGTAGTGTTCAGGAAAGGTCTTGAAGCTTGTGGTGACAAAATGTAAAAAGTATGACCTCAGTCCTTGGTGGTCATTACAACAGTGAACAGATATGAAACAGTGAACGTTTACTATGAAAACATAAAAAAGAACATAACTGAGCTGTTTTGTATATCCCTGGTGTGTCCATATCTGCAGGACTGTATGGGGTTGTTTTTTTTCTTTGGATTTCTGTATTTAAAAGCAGAGAATAGAGCTAGGAAGGAACAGAAGAAGTGCCGAGGATGAATAGAAGTGTGGAACAGCTTCAATTAACAGCTCCTGGATGTATCTCTCCGGCATTGTGTGGTAGTTACACAGGTTGAGACCTCAATGGCAAACATTTTAGAATTTAAGCTTATTTAAATGGTTGGGGTTTGGGAGTTTTCTCCTTATAGATTTTGTAACTCTTGTTTCATTATTTACTTGCTGTTTTAACTTTTTAATCTGAGAATCTAATACTATTCTGTAGTTCATCTCTTCTTGCAGAAAACAATGACGAATTCTGTAGTCTGTTACAAGAGCTTGTTTCAGTTCAAAGACTTTTGTACCTGGGCTGTGTAAATAATGCTTTGTGTGAAGTCCTCTGGCCCTCAGGAATGTCGTCGATAGCATCTTTTTTAAAAAAAAAATCACTTTTCTATTTTTAACAATATGTTTTGGATCCATTTTGATGCACGGGACAGAGGAGTGCCTGAGTCGGGGTTCATTGGTGTAAGGCAAGCTCATGTGCCCAGCCTTCTCAGAGGCGTTTTATTGTGCGGGGTTCTGCTTTTTTGGAAGAAGCTGCTTCTGTAATTGAATCTCATGTTCTTTTAGTTTTCAAGATTTATTATTGCTTTCTACCAGGGCCAGAAAATAGTTGTTTAACAGTACATTTGAGCCCCACTGGGTGAAACTAATCTGGTTAATCACTGCAACATGAATGACTCTATTTGAGTTTGAGGTTGAAGTGACAGTTTTGAGGGATCATGCATTTACATGTGTATTGGTTAATGTAGGGCTTTTGCTCTTTCGTTTTTAGGACTGCACTGTAGCTGACATGGAAGATAAAGTTCAGACTGTGGTAAGCACATGTTTCTGTTGAAAGTCAGCTGCCTGCGTTCACATTTGTTTCAGTGGCTTCTACGCTGCCTGTACTGACAACAGCTTTCCAATCCCACACGTACAAGCATGTCATGCAAGTAAACATAGTTAGGGGCCATTTTGTGAATATTCTGTACTGTACAGGAAATCAATGAAATTTGAACAGATGAGTAGTGTGTGTAATAGCACCAGGTCAATTATTGCTTGAAGTTTCATTGCACAGTCATTTTTTTTAAGAGCATTTAGACATCAGATTTTCAAGGAAGGCCTAGTACTGTAGAAAGATTCTAGGCTAAATAAACCAATTATGCCTGTGATGTGCATTTAGTGCCTTAAGCGGACACTATGCCTTACTAAGCTTCTTCATGTAAAAGAACTGCCCTGACACAGAACTGAAATTCTGTCTCTGATAGTACTTGAGCTTGAGTTTTCAGGTTTATTTGAAGCAGCCTTGTGACCAAATGAGGAGCGTAATGGAATGCTTTTTATATTTTGTAACAGTTAATCATTGCTTCCTGCTTTTGATATGAACCAGGCTGTGCTCTTTGATAAGGCCTTCCGCTAGCTCATAGATGCTTAGGAATTTAGTAGCACAATAACTAAAAATAATTTTGTCCATGAATAATGAGACCACGTAAAAGGGAGTTTTTTTTGCATCTTTCTTTTTCCGTTTGTGCACACCCACACTGGAAGTAGGCATTGTTTTTGGGAGTTCCCTTGTTTGAGCAGTTCCTCGCATTCACACTTAAGCATTGTTTTGATTTATTTTATTGTTGCTCTATAAATCTGATGTACAACAAAACGAAGTACGTTGGAACTATTGTTTCCAGAGACCGTTGTAATCCAAACCAATGTCTTCCTACGAGCCAATTCCCCCCATTCTGTAATGAAATATGTGTACTTTGACTGAGGGATACAAGCCCCTTGGTGGCTGGTTCCCAAACTATGTGTAACGAACTACTGTACTGTGTGCTCCCCTCTCCTTTAAGCTTTTGTACCTTACTCTGAGCTTCAGTGTTGTTTCAGTTAATGTCAAGACCCAAAATACGCTGTGGGGTATTAATGAAATTTGGACTATGATTTGTTTTTTTTTGTTTCCCCCTGATTAATTAGCCATTATGCTAGTTGTAAGTTCTACAAGACAAAGCCGTTCTGCCTCTGACATCATTTACTGACACACACACAAGGTCAGAATTTGCCTTTAGTTATATTGTTGGCTTAGGATCAGTTATGTTTTGGTCAAAAGGAAATATGAACCTTGCTTGCGTAAGCATTCCAGAAGAGGTCAGCTCAGAGACACTGTGGAGAGAAGTGAAGCTGAAACACTTAAATGCTAGATGTCCTGCCTTATACTGTAGAGCTTTGTGCAGGTAAGTTAGTGGCCAGCACCTCACTTTTTCTGACACATGGTGAGTTTTATTCTTATAGCAGAAATAAAGAACAATATGAAAAACTGTCAATTGTTCCCACAAGAAATCATCAAAATGTTTCAGTATTTTAATGGGTTCTATTTTGCTTAAAGCAAACAAGCTCCAAACCCCTTTTTTTTCCTGTTTGTCGTGTATATATTTTTTTTTAAAGCAGAGATGTGTTGGCATCTGTTAGTGATGATGAGGTGGCACTAATGGAAACAAGTTGTTTTTTACTAGGTTACAGTAAGAAGGTAAATATATTGTAGAATAGATCTGTACAAATGAGTCTTCTATTTTGGTGATGCTTAACTACCCTTTGTCAGTGGACTGAGTTCTAGAACTCCTTTCGTTTCTGTTTAAAAACTGAGAGAGGAGGAAGCCAGGAGAGAATTCTTGTAACTGTTTTTTGTATGTTCTCATTGTAGGCCAAGACTTTAAATGGCATTTGCGACAAAGCCATCCGATCAGCTACAGACCCGTTGATGAGCCAGTGTGCATGTCTGGAGGAGGTTCATTTAACCAACATTAAACCTGGGGAAGGCTTGGTAAGAACCCATTCTGGGGTGTCCTGATGTCCTCAGTGTTTAACAGGTAGTCTCGTGAGCCACTGTATGTGTGTGTATTGCAAGATATTTCAAAACCATTAATATCCTATGGGGAACAGAAGGTCACCTGGAGAGGAACTCTGAAAATTCTCATGTGGTGTGCTGGAGTGGCTGCCAGAGATGAGTGTGCATGTTAGTAAGTTTGATCCCAAATACAGTTTTTGATGGTGAAGTATTGCAGATTTGTGTCTTAACCAGGATACTGGGTAATTTACAACCGCTTGTGAAATCAGTCGTTTTATTTTTGCACGTTACCTTAACTAGCTGTTTTCTGGGGATGGGGCGGGGGGGCATTTATCAAGGTGATGTGAAATGGTGTTTGTGTTTTTGAAAGACACATGTTTATGTGTGTTTATAGAAAGATTGTGAAGAATATGAGGATTTTTGAGGTTTGCTGTTAGCAGGAACATGAGAAATCATTTTTAAACGTTCGGTGGCTGTGTAGCATTACTGAGTCTAGTTCAGTAGATGCTGCTCAGCTGAGTGCTGGTTGTGAGAAACCGAGTTTAAAATCTACCAAGATTTCCTATCTGGGGAACAGACATGTTAGAAAGAGTTGGAGGGAATTTAAATTCTTAAATGCATTTGTATTCACCCCAGCCCTGAAGGCAGAAGAGATGAACATTGTAAAGAGGAAGCTTTACAGTCTTAGCGTGCTATATAGTTTTACCTAGGCCAGTGGGTTTGACTGAGTCGGTCATACATTCTTGAATTTATGGGGACTTCTATGCTACAATGAAGCAGAGTCAGCCTAGCTTGGACTAAGTAAGAAACGAGGAGGTAGCTGCACACAGTTGGATACTGGCAGGCAAACAAGGAAGACAACTGGCTGGAGACGAAGGGGCAAAAAAAAAAATCTTGTATTTTTCCTTATACTCGTAAGCAAAAGTGGTAACATGAGGCAGATAATCTGCCTGCAACTCCTGAATAACAGCTGGTTCTTTACAGCTCATGTGAGTGCTTCTAACAACAGATGTAGGTAGGAAAAGCGGAGACATGATGAAACCAATGTACTGGTCACCTCTTCTGGGGAAATCTGTGCAATTATTAGTTACTAGCCTGTTGGTGATTTTTAATTTGGTGTTCATATGATCACCGACTTCATCTGTATTTGTCCTTGCATTTGCACTCAGCTTTAGCATATACAGACACAAATACTTGGTTCTGGCAGAGCTTTTATTGCTGATGTCAGCACTGTGGTTACAAGGCACTCTGTATATTGACTTGCCAAGAGAAATTGTAAAAGAATATGTAGACAATATTTGTAGCCCACTGGTGTAAGTGTGCTTTGCATGGAGAGAGCTGGTGGCCCTCTTTTAAAACCTGTAATTCTCTAATGGAGGCAGGGCATTAAGAAAATAAAGTTTTGTTCAAGGCCAAAACCGACAAGGCAGCAAAACCAACAGTGTTTGGTATTACCAACCAGACAGTGAAATTGCAGTCCATACATTTTTTTTGCATTATAGATATTATAATTAATTACAATAAAAGTGATCTGTGAAGAGGTTTAGAATATTGTACTATTAGACCACACACTTTTCTAGGGTAAATGTGTGAATTGTTAAGTGTTTTTAATAATGTTTTGAGTCTGTTGCCAACAGGTGTGTAATCAGATAAGTTACGCCATCTTTTGCCTTTAACCTTGTTTTTAATTTTCTGCTTACATTTAGGGAATGTACATCAAATCAACTTATGATGGATTACATGTAATTACTGGAACTACAGAGAACGTAAGTGAGCAAATGTGGTTTAACTCAGGCTATCTGACAGAAGCTTTGATTGAGTTTGACTTTTTTACTACTTTTTCCTGTTATACATATGACTTTCATGATATTACTGCTTTAAATACTGTGTGATACATCATTTGTTTATCCGTAATTTGTAAATATTTTGTGTCTGCATGTTTCACTGTTAGTGTAATTAAACCAGTTTCTGCAAGTACATGAGTTCAAACGCTTGGCATTAAAATAAATTGCTTTAATATGTTACTGTATCTGCTGTTCCGAGTGCTTATGGTTTCTTGCTTAACAAAGTTTTGAACATATTTGCTCTCTGCTGGCAAAAGCAATCTCCTCCAAAGGGAATGTCTGGGTGTAGTGTGCGAAATGCGGTAGAGAGTAATGAAATCAATGAGCTGTCCAGTGACAAATTTACCTTGCAAAGTACAAAGACTGCAAAGAAGTAAGACTTTGAGCAGTCTGCTGGAAGGAAATGGTCGGCGTGATAGGCAACTATTTTTTGCTGCAGATGGTTGCTTATTTTATTCCTATACTGTGAGTTCGCTGTAGCTAAGACTATTAAAGGCGTCTGGGCAGTCATTGCAGTGGACCTCTGTCCAGCAGCTGGGGCTGGTATGTGATGCTCTACAGGAGCAGTGGCTGAAAGAAAAAGGAGCAGAGGAACTTGGCTTTTGCAGTGATGCCTGCTTTTTGTTTTGTTTTTTTTTTTTGTTTTGTGAATAGGAAAGAACCAGTGGTTCTAGTTGTACCCCTGCCAAGTCCAGGGGCCAGGGAGGAGTGGGTGGGAATCTGTGCTTGCAGTTCAGAGTGAAAACTGAAAGCTTTTATAGCTTTTACACTGTTGCCCTGGAATAACTCTGTATAGGGTCTGCAGCATAGATCAAGGCCGCTTTGACAGCAATTTCAACATCTGATAAATGTGTAAGAATGTAACACTTACTGCCACCAAACTCCCTGTGCATACATATTTTGGAGGCCAGGAGTGGGACTGTATTGCTCCTATAGCTTTGAGTGTTGACCTAAACATCCACTTCTTTCATGAACACTGTTTCTTCCTTTGGGGATGCTCTTTCCTTTGGAGCAACAGCACTTGAGAAGTTATGGAGAGCTGCAAACAACTGGTATCTTTCTGGTGGCGTGGGATCAGGCTGGCTCTTAGCTCAATTTCCTTGCTAGGTTTGGGATGGTATTTTAGTAGCTGTCCCCAGAAGCAGTTGTGTTGGAGTGCAGTGGAATTGCACCCCAAAATTAACAGCACTGTACATTGGAAGGACGGGGGAGGTCAATGCATGTGATACCAGTCAGCCAAGAGGATTCCTGCATTGTGCAGTCCTGCTTATGACTACCCGTGTCACGCTGGCCTAGATCTAAACTTTGCTCTTTCCTCTATTCTCACAAAGCAATTGCAGTGTCTGCTGTACTAGCTGGCACTGACTGTAGGAGTTCTCTGTGCAAGGGTCCCTCACCCAGATGGCTGCTGATTGCCCAAAGGACAGCTTGAAATGAGCTTTGTTTTTCACAAACTCGATTTTGGCCCAGCATTTTTTCATGATCTTAGTTGACTCATATATATGCAGCCTTCCACGGAGGCATTTCCTCTCGGAGGAAGCGAGAAGACAATGAAGAAATGGGATTACTCATGGTAGCTGGAGCCTCCCACAAATTCCCCCACGTTTTCTTCCCTTGTTGCACTGTTTATTCCTACAGTTCGTTTTAACAAAAACCTTACTTGAGCTCTGAAGGTGTGATGACGAGGAGAAGGGAGTCCTTAATCCAAGTGCTTAGTTCTGGAGTCACTAGAAAGAGCTGGCCTGCTGCCAGGTGGTTACTCATGGGGTGGGGGGGGATGGGAGGAGAATTCCTGTGACCAGGGTCCAGTATACCAAGGCAGTATGCCACTGTGCTTTGGGTGTTGTCAAGGCTGGTCCAAGTTGGTGTGTTATAGCAGTGAGATTGTTTATAATAACTGCAGTGATAGCTGGTGCATGGCACCAGCCGTAGATAAATCTAAATAAATATTGACACATTTAGCTGTTCCTTGCTAATGGTTCCCCAGAGCTTGTTTTTTGTTCTAAAAAAATTGTATTTTAAGGTGTATTGTTATTAGATGGGTGTTTGAAAAATACCTGTCTACGAACACTTGATGTGTGCAAACATATTTTATCTGTTGACCTTGCTGATGCAGGCAGGTAATTTCACATAAAAGGTGGTAGCTCTTATTTACATTAGGAAACAAAAAGGGAAAGTGAAATGGATTTGTTTTGTGGGTTGGAGGGTTTTTGGTCCTTTGTTCTGTACATTCAAAATCTTAGTGTGTACTTTGTTTTTAAAATCAGTGTACACTTATTTGAAAGCTAAGTTTAAGACAGTTGCTGTGTTAAGACCCAAACCTTGTCTTCAGTCTTCTGCCACTGCTGTCTGGAACTACAGCACAAACTGGATGCAGAAAGACAGTGGAGGCCATCCCATGACTGAAGTACAATTTGGCCTGCGACAGATGTAGACTATGCCTTCTCCCTTGTCATGTAGTTCCCCGGTATATATATATAAAAAAAAAATCATTAATTGAATTCGTTTGCATTTCTCAAGTCATCAGTGAATGTCATGTGTGATCTGGCTGCATGGAAATTTGTGGCAATGCTGTTCGTTATAGATACAACCTTTGGCTTAACTTGGTTGGGATTGTTATGGAAGGGAAGAAAACCTGCTGAAGCACATGGCTCTTGTTTTCCTCTTTGTAGTCCCCTGCTGATCGATCTCAGAAGATTCATGCTGGTGATGAAGTGATCCAGGTTAATCGACAAACTGTGGTCAGTAACAAACAGCCTTGCCAGTCGTCCCTTACACTTGCTCTGCAAAGCTCACTTCCCACAGATTCTGAACGGGTGGGGTCGGAAGACGGTTCTGGTGTTTTCCTGTTGCAGTCTTTGAAGCTTCTTTTATGTTTTGCTTTCAAGACACATGTTACTTGGACTTAAAATTAATTCTTGGCAATGTTTTGATAAAATAAATATGCAATATTTGGTGTTTAAACACTGTATGCATCATATTCAAATATTTCGTGTTGTATTTAAGGCTTGACAGTCTATGGGAATGCAGATAAAAACAGCTTTAAAAAAACTCCAAGTATTTGTTAAAACATTTGCATCTGGGAAGTTAGGTAAAAAGATTACGGTTTTGCTTAGCGCAGGTAAGCAATGCCTATTGACGTGAGAAAGGAAGATGACAGAAGTAGTTTACTGTGAATTATTGTGTTACTCCATTTAGGCACATTCATGCATCCTTTTAGGACCAGAGCTGAGGTATAAAGAGCACTGCTTGATATCTCGATGTTTAATTTACAGCTTAAGTAGAGATCTTTCTTTGAAACAAAACAAGGAGATCCTTCCAAAAAAGGGAAAAAAAAATTTTCTCTTTATTCTAGCTTTTTTTTTTGGATCTCTTACGTCTCTTTAGGTTCATGTTACAACAGACAGTTTGACTTGGGATTTAGTTTTTTCCTGTGTGTTCGCTTTCAGAAAAGCACTATCAAATAAAAGATGTCTTTATCCTCTTCCAGGTTGGATGGCAACTCAAAAATCTGGTGGCAAAGTTGCGAGAGAATCCTGCTGGAGTTAGGCTGCTGCTTAAGAAACGTCCTACTGGCTCTTTCCATTTCACTCCTGCTCCGCTAAAGAACCTACGCTGGAAACCACCCTTGGTGCAGGTGAGAGGCTGCTGGCTCAACTAACATTGGGATGGGAATGCGTTGGTTGCAACTTGAAAAAGAGAAATATCAGAAATGCTCCCATGTTTGAGTGTAGTTAAGGAAGTTTAGGTGAAATGGCTGTCCTCTTCTGGTTCCTAGGTAAAAGGGAAAATGTTCTCTTTTTTTTTTGTTTGTGATTTTTTTTTTTTGTTTTTTTTTTTTTTTTTTTTTTTAAAACTCTGGGTATTTCTTTTTTT